GCGCACATCTGGCGGCGCACGTTTGTTTTTCTCCTAAACTGAGGTAAACAGCGTCGCACGAGCCTCTCCACCAATAGCGGAGGTTTCCAGCTCTGTTGGACTCTTTTTTTTTTTTGAATGTGCGCTGCAAACAAAGCCAGAAGACACTCGTGATGTTGAGGAAACACATGCGCAAAATATATGTATATCAACTTTAAAAGTTCATCTTGTTTTTATTTGAGTGTAAAAGAAGAAAAGCAGCCTTGAGCTGAAGGAGGAGGATCTGGAGCTGCAGGTTAATGGCGGGGTTTTTGAATGTTAGGGATTGGGGGATGTTCATTATGCAGCAGTATCAGGGGCACGAGGACAGCACGAGCCAGAAGAACAAAGGCAACAGATGGCTTTTCTGTCCTAATAAATAATTGTCCAACTAGAGAGACGGGGGGACATCAGGAGTTTTCCAAAGGGAGACAAACGAGTGGACATCATAAGAGATAATGAGAGAAAAAGTTTTTTATACGAGGAAAAAGCATTAAACGTGTGTTTTAGTCTCTTATGTTCTACTCAGCTGAAGGAACCCTAACAGATCACATTCATCTTGTCCAGCACTCATATGACTTCAACAAAGATGACTCAAGTTACAAAATAAACAAATAATCCAAATATTCTTGGGAATAAAAAGATAAAAACCGATATAAAAAAATCAAACCAAATGAAGCATTACAGTTTCACAACTGTTTCCAATGCTGGTGAAGATGTGGGGGCGTGGTCAACAGGACGTGCACGCCCACCACCAGAAGCGTCCCTGTCACTGAGCCTCAAACCTCGTGGAGTAAAAAGGGCGCTCAGTATAACTGGAGACATCATTACATCTGCTGGATTTGGAGGGGTCGAGATGACACCAGCACGGTATGGTTCTTTATTTCTCTAGATTAAATTATATTACAAATGTAACGTTTGTTTGATGAGCTGAGACGGTCTAAATGTTTGATCTCATTAGATTTTGGCTTCCATAGCTTTAGTTCATGACATTTGGCCCATAAATAGCACAATAAAACAACTGTTGTTATTTAACATTAAATTCAATAGATTCTGGTGCTTTCCATAGGACCCTGTGGTTAATTTTAAATAAGCCTTTTAAAGATCCATTCAGAATCTTCATGTTTCCAAGACAAGATGTTTAAATGGCTGACTGGTCAAATGACACGTCCTGCTTCTGTCTGACGCCCACGAGTCTGAGTGTGAGAAAGTCTGACTGTTGAAATTCTCACTGCAGCTCATGGATGACTGAGTCCCAGGCTGAAGGACATCACGCCCGCAGGGAATGAGGGGAAACGTGTTTGGAGGTTGTGAGATAAACAAACAAATAAATAAATAAACTGAGCTGGAGGTTTAGCACATTAATAACATGCATCAGTGGAATGTGCCTCTTCAGATATTCTTGCTTCAGTTTCTATAAGAAACACACACACAATCAGTTATATATATATATATATATATATATATATATATATATATATATATATATATAATTTTGTGCAAATTATGAAAGTAAACATTGTTTTATATTTAAAATAGCAGATTTGGCTCAGGAGTCTGAGTTTATGATTTAAAGGCTTCATTAATCAGTTGCTAGATTTTTGCAAATAATAGTTTTTATTATTTGCAGTAAATCTCCATCTGGAGGAATTTAACTACAGAGTTAATTCATCACACATGACGATGAATAGAATCAGCCTACTAAATGATGTTTAAGTGCAGATAAAACTGGAAAAGGGGGAAATTACATCAGTTTATTATTTACTTTAAATCCAGCAGAAAATACTGTATGTGTTTGTTTGAAATGTATAGTCAGCTTTAGCAGAATGAATGAATGAATCCTAAACCTGAAAACACAAATAAAATACTTTCGTCTTTGTGTGTGTGTCTAATTTCAGCTGCTCAATAAAGTTTATTTTCTCTTGTGGTGTTGTTATTATTATTATTATTATTATTATTATTATTAATAATCCACAATTGGACTCCACGTTCTTTAGCCTGGATTGGTGATGGAGGTCCGTTTGCACGCGTCCGGGTGCATTGTAATAAGAGTGGCACGCGCCAACCAGCTGCGCGTCTGCAAAGGAGCTGCTGCGGTCTTTTAAATGCTATATTGATCATACAGTTTGTTAGATTTTGGACGTTATTATTATTATTATTATTATTAAAATTATATCTTACGAACGATAAACATGTAGACTAAATAAATTAGTAAGTTTTTATAAAACAACTGTTAGAAAATTGTCTACTTGTAGTTCATTAGCGACCATTGAGTGACTTTTATTACTCTAATAAATATGGAATTCTGGAGAATAGTTGTCATGAAAGGTGTTTAGATATGAGTATATGACGTACCCCCCCCCTCCCCCCACCCCCAAAAAACAACTTTATAGCCTATGTGGCCGAATTTGGGACTTTATCGTTTATTTTTTTATATATATATAAATGTGTTTTTGATGCTGTTGTTATAAACCAGCCCCTGCGGGCTCGTGTTTAAGGGGGAAAAAAACTGAAAATGAGTCTCAAATGTCCCATAAGTCCCATTATTTGAATCTTCCCGCGCAGCAGCAGATGTGAACGTACAATAGATGGGACCCACGCGCTGAATAATTCAGTCCAATTAGAATAACAGTTCTGCGATGGACTGGCTCTCTGTATGTACCCCGCCTGATTGCCCATTGACCGCTGGAGATAGGCACCAGTCCCCCCGCGACCCTGCGTGGACAAAGCGGGTTCAGACAATGGATGGATGGATAGAATAACAGTTGCACGCCTGACGCGTGCGGGAGATATCCCAACTTTCCCAGGCTCCTTGTGGAGAAAAACCGTTGGTAGACCTCCCTCCCGTTCAATGGGGATTTGGGAACTGTTGAAAACTCGAATTAGGAACGCTGGGAAGAGACTCCTCTATTAAGTCCACTTGATTAAACCCTGTGAGAGCCTATCATCAAAGGCTGCAGCTGCATGGGAAAGATGGGTGAAGCTTATACAAAAATGATAATCATCCACGTTTACAAGCTATTTGATATACGACTAAATAATATTTATATTAAGAATTAAATGTATGGGACCGATTGCATCGTGTTAGTAAACTGTATTATTATATTATGGCCGTTTCAGGCCTTTATGCGGTTGTTTTCAACCCAAATGTAGACTAGGGGTGTTTCATTATTCTCTTCTGCGCTCTCTTAAAGTCTGTTATATCCATTATTGTCCACTTCCTATGGGGATTGTAACTACCACACCACTCGTGGGAATTCCCCCCCACAAATTGGCGCGTGGTGTCTGTGACAGTTGGACCGGTGAGACAGATGGGACCAAGAGGCACGCGCCGAGCACGAGCCCTCCCAAACACCCCTCCTTCCTCTCCTCTCCTCTCCGCCTCTCCACCGCATCAAAGGGGCGGAAAAATCAATCAGCCTAATCTGACACGGCTGCGTGCACGGAGAGAGAGAGACTAGATGCTATACACATGATCCAATGTTATTAGATATTAGACTAATTAATTCAAACTTACATAAGATAAAATACAAAATATAAGTTCTGGTTAAAACTAAAGAAAACTCAATATATAAAGTAAATAAAACAGCTTACTGTGATTGTTTTGAACAAAAAGCCAGTTCAAAACTTGTAATCATGTGTGCTCTAATTGGTCTCCAACAGCGCATGTCTAAAACTTCTGTCCTCCATTGCCACTGAACTGCACATTTTTTTTACTCCTGCACACCTGGTTTGAATCAGCTGTGGCTTCTACAGAACTCGAGGGGCGTCCTGCAGGCGAATCAAGCATTAAATCAGATCAGGTGGGCTGGAGAACAAGTAAAACATGCTGGAATCTGGAATATGTAAGGCACGCTAACAAAGTGTGCTGAAAACATATTTACAGGTGAATGCAGGTGCTTTTTGAAATCTGAGTCTTTCCTGATCTCATTTAGTGATAAAAAAAATACTATACTGATACTTGGATCTGAGTACTCATCGATACAGATTACCAATATTTCTACCACACAAAAAATGCAATAAGTTGCAGGTTTTATTTTCTTCTCTGCTTTCAACATGAAAAGACTGCGAGGTAGATAAAGAACAAAATATATTAACAGAAATAATCACAAAACTAAAACAGCATGTGAACAGAAATGACACAGTGAAGTCACTTTCAGGCAACTGCATTGGTTTCGGTTCCAGAAGTACATTTTAAATATAAAGAAAAGCAAAAAAAAAAAAAAAAAAAAAAAATCTGAGAGAGAGAGAGAGATTTATGATCCAATCAGCCACTTGGGTTAGGGCAGGGCTATTAAATTCTGGGTTTCTTGGTCGGTATCCAGCACGTTTAAGTAGATCCCTGGTCCAACACAGTCAGTGGTTGAATCACCTGCAGCTCCTCTGCAGAAGCCATTTAATCACCTAATTGAAACCAGGTGTGTTGAAGCAGGGTTAAACCCAGACCTGCTGCACTGGCTGGCCCTTGAGTCCTGGAATTGAATAGCCCTGGGTTAGGGTTAGAGACCTTCATGATAATCAAGATGTCGGTCAAAAACAGCTTTTTTTTTTGCACATTTTTTGTTTGGAAAACTGGCTAACTCTAGCAGATCAGATATGTTTTTCATGAGAAATAACTCGTTTTGCACTTCCTAAACCCCATAAATGTAAATTTACAGATGGTGGTTTACTCATGAAATAAGTCAGAATCAGTTTCACCAAAGACCACAAGATGGACCTCTTCCTTTCACAAGAAACAGGTGTCCGGTGTTGCTGATTTAACAGGAAAAAGCTGCGCAAACAGACAGGAGGAGTCCTCAAAGTCTGATCACTGGTGTTTACACCTGACTGAAACACTTACCTTTATAGAACTATTTACGTTAGTTTGTTACCGTTTGTTTGCACTGCTCCTTTAATTTCTGAGCGGATTTTCACAGCAACTTGTAACAGGCTCGGTGATCCTCCCCCTGCTGGATTATTTAACAGGCGCTCAGCCCCATGTCGCCATCTGCTAAAGGGAGAAAAACACCAAGAAAGACAAGAGCTACATTATAGACGAGAAATTAATTAGGAATAACGAAGGAAGAATTAATACAGGAAGTATTTTATTGGACACCTTGAGGCTGTTTTACAGGTGTGTGGATGATCGAGATTATAGAGGAGGATACGACTGCGGATGTCGTATCCCTGTGATGTTGTGAGATTTGATCAAACATGTAAAAGGATGTTTAAACAATTCAAACGTGGATTTTACGCTTCATCACCGCCTTGCTGAGATCCATGGAACCAAACTCTCCCACAGGTGACCTGGTGACCAGGATCTGAAGCTTTGCTGATAAAATGCTGCTGATGCTGACCCCATCCACCCGGTGAGTAAGTCGGGGGTCAACAGACGAGAGGGAGTCGTCCTGTCCGAGGCCATGGTGGTGATGGAGGGCGACAGGGCGCTGCTCGCAGCGAGGAAAGGGGACGTGCAGAGTCTGAAAGCGCAATTAGCGGCAAAGGTGCTCAACAGCGACATCAAGGATGCGCTCGGAGCTTCACCTGTCCACCACGCCGCCAGGGCCGGGAAACTGAGCTGTTTGCGTTTCCTGGTGGATGAGGCTGGACTGCCGGGAAACTGCGTGGCCAACAACGGGGCCACTCCGGCGCACGACGCGGCGGCTACGGGCAACCTGGCCTGCTTACAGTGGCTGCTGACCCAGGGTGGATGTCGGCCAGAGGTAAGTGAGCTAAGCCAAGGACTAACAAGTGGAGCAGACAACATGTAGAAGAACACCATGCTGCTTTAGATTCATTTGAATTATTTACGATTTCAATATTTCTGCCCCGTCCTTTTGGTTCTCTGTAAAATCCTCTGTTGTTGTCTCTCTGATTCAACACGCCCTTAATGCAAAGGTCTGCAGAAGCCTGGTAATTAGTCATCGGATCAAACCAGGTGTGTTGGTGCAGAGAGGCATGTTAACAATCAGTACGGTAGCCCAGAAGGACCAAGCTTGCTCACCCCTAACCAACATCCTCGTACATGATCATACATGACAGCATGATCAGTCAGGAGGTTGGTGATAACTTCATCCAGGAAGCAATTACAACTCAACCAGGATGTCCCCTTTCAAAATAAAATATTATGATTCAATTACAAACTTTGAAGGAAAATGAAAGGCAATGAAATGATAGTTGTCAAAATCAGTACAAATGAAATTTAAACTTTAATTTTCTGATTAAAACCAACTTTGCAGAATTGCATTGTGTTGCCGTGGTGATGAAGTATAGGCAAAACAGGATTTGCAAACCTAATTCTATTTGTACAGTACATCAACAGGCAGTGGCGGACTCAGAAATTTGTGGGCCCAAGGCAAACAAAAACATGGAGCCCTCTGCAGCTGTTGGAAAAAATATTCTAAACATCTTTTAAGTGTAATTGGGGCCTTATAATAGGTTTAGGGCCCAAGGCCATCACCTCCCTTTGCCCAAAGATAAGTCTGCCTCTAGAGGCTCAGGAGGCTTAAAAACGCACGATGGCTCCATGTGGTATGTTGGGATAGTTGGAAGGCTTTTGGGTGCTGTAATCAGTAATGCTCACATAATGAAATAGATCTGATGACTCCATGACCTCGTGTCCCTGGTACATGCAAATTACAGTTGGCCAATAAAGAAATGCAGCTGCCTTTTAAGGAGTTGGATTGGGAAGTATTTTAGTTAAGCCGCTTTTTAATAGAAATGAAGGAAGTAAGGAAACTTAAAAGACAAATCCAGCAGTGTGCAGGAATCCAGAAGTCAAATCAAGATGGGTTGAAACTATAGAACACATGATGGTGAACAAATAAATACCACATGAATTTAGACCACTAATGCAAGAGCATAAAAAATGAATCATTACTTTTTTAGTTCTTGTCTGTTTTGCAGGACAGAGACAGTTCTGGCGCCACTGTTCTCCACCTGGCAACTCGCTTCAGCCACCATGAGATCACCGACTGGCTGCTGAAGAGCGGTGAGGGGGACCCCGGGGCCCCTACAGATACAGGTGCCCTACCTGTTCATTATGCTGCTGCCAAGGGAGACCAGGCTTCCCTCCGCCTGTTACTGGGGCACAGCCCAAAGTAAGCCTTGATACGCGGGCTCCTTATTAACTGATCTGTTATTTAAAGTTACAAAGTGTAGTTTTTATGAAATAATCTCTGGAGACATCCACCAAATTGCTGTTGAAACTGAAACTGTTGGCAGCTTGATATCATATAAATATAAAAGGCAGGCCTAAAATACATGAGCAGGTCTAAGGCCCGTTCCCAATTCTCGCACTGCGTCCTACGGTCCTCTATGAAGTGCACTTGGAGGAAGGGCACAGTAAGGGTTCGAGTGTGTAGCACGCGTACCGAGATGCCACATCCACACAGAAGCCACATTCGGACCGCCAGACCTTCAAACCTTTGGGCCCTAGCGCCCCCGTCAATTGTGGGGCTTTGAAATTTAGCAGCAAAATTCATGTCCCAAATATCAATAATTGTTTACGTTCTCCAAACACAACTAAAACTTCAATCAAAACAGTTTGGATGCAAAACAAAGCCATTTTAAATACCAATAAATTTTATGTTAATTGAACTTTATTTTAGAGGAGTTTCTGACCCTCACGGTGTCTGCAGGAAACAACTCCGGCCCTTTGAACATTTAGTTGAGGACCCCTCTCCTATGCACTCGCATCCCTGAACTGGAACGCGCAATTAAAGGGAGCAAGGGTGGAAGTGCGAGTATATTGAGATTGGGCCTAAATCTCTCGGCAATGCCATATTAGATGCCATGTTTCCCTCTATAGGAGCCTGTTGGGACTAAATTCATTTACTGATTTGAAACAAATGGTTACAAAACTGTCACCATTCATAAACATTGTTGTTTTACACATTTACCTCTTCACTTGTTGCCAGTGATGAAAGGGAGTCGGATGTATTTGTCATTTTGCTGGAGGTTGCGCTCCCAGGGATTTTTTTACCCTAATGGCCATTTGTTGGTAAGGTCCTACCCAAACTTCAAAATACTGCTTGTTTGCAAAAGTTCAGGTATGTACTGCCCCCTACCACCAGGGACAACACACATCATCACTTTAATCTGCTTGTTTGAAAGATGCTCGGAAGGCTTTCATCAGAAACTATAAATGCTTTTGTTCAATGGGCTAACATGTTCTTAAAATCTCTACAAGATTTTATTTAAATAAGCTTTTTTTTAAACCCTAAATAGCTTTGTTTGCAGCGAAGTGATCACACAGGCGTTAAAAAGCCACCCACTGGTTTCAGAAACACAGTTTTGAGTTTAAGCCTAGTTTATATTTCTCCATCAGCAAGGTTGGATTCGCGTATCGACAGACGTTTTCCTTTTACGCTTCTCTGTTGGTGTCAGCGTTGCAAAGCAGTTAGACCTTTTCTGGCAAGTCTGCCTATTATTGCAGTGACTATGGTCGATTAAAGTTTACTTGCGAATCTTTTGAAGAAGGTGTGAATTTAAATTAAAACATCTTGTGCTGTCATTAAAAATGATCATTGTTCCTATTTTGTTAAAGTTTGAAAACTAAAGACAGAGTCGGAGAGCAAAGTTTCATTGAGCTGAAACTGGTTGATCTCGAGGAACAAAAACTTTTGTTACAAAGAATTAAATTTCACTGACGACGACGGCGCTGTTTGGCCGCCAAATCACAGTTGTGGTTGCGTTTGACAGATAAAAAATTTGGCTCCATCGTTTTTTGCATGCTGACTGATAATGGTGCTATGTGTCTATACACCTCCACAAAGTACAAACTAGGCTTTAGCCCATGCCTACTTACAATTTTTCAATCCAGAAAATCATTTTAGGAGGTGGCATTCTTAAAGGGGCATAACACTGATCTTAACCCGTCTGTTTAACAGTATAAAAGTTCAACTGTGTGCTGTCATCTGAGAATCTACATTTCTGCATTCACCCTGCTTCTTAAAAACACTAACTGATAGAGGGGTCACCCCAACAGCATGGTCAGACTGAAGCATGTTTCAGAGCAAATGTCCAAATATCAATGTGACCCTGTGCAAAAGTCAAAAAGTATTAAAATTGACATCAAATCATTTTTCTAAATGCACTGACCACCAATAGGTTTGGGACCCTGTTAACCCAACTCAAAAATCTAAACTCTTCATATGATGTCTTTTTCTGATTATTTATGTTAGAATCGAGGACCATTTCAATTGGTCAAAGCCAAAAATATTGTAAAAATTCATCTGACTTGTTCAGTTAAAAAAAATTAAAGGTGTGGTTCACTGAGAAATAATTATTTTCATTGTTGTTTCTGATTTATATTTGGTTATTCTGAGTTTTCATGCAGGCTGAACATGAAAATAGTCCCCTACACCTATCTCCTGCATCGGCTTCTCATAGAAAATGGACGGTGAAACTCTAGGATTTGAAAACTCTGACAGATCTACGTCACACTGTCACTTAACATTCATGGACCCAACCAACTTGATTCACGACGGTGAAGGTTGTTGTTGTTTTAGTGTCCAGGAAACAGCAGAGAACGGTTCGACTAGTAGAAGCTAACCATTAGCATTAGCAACTTCACCACATGGAAAAACTTCTCCTGAATTGTGTTGTTTGTGGAGAGATAATATCAGTGTTGCAAAGTAAACAGAGTCGGTGGAAAAATCACGTTGCTGTTAGCCAATCAGAGGCAAGATGTCCAAATATCAGTAAAGAAGACCACTAGAGACCACTGCAAATGTATGGATTAAACAAGTGAATCACACCTTTTAAAGTAGAAACAGTTTTTGGTCAGAGGGCCCCACCTAGACGTGGAAAAATGTGTTGCTCATTGAGCCACTCTCCTTACTTCTGTGATCACAGCTGTGTGTGTGTGTGTGTGTGTGTGTGTGTGTGTGTGTGTGTGTGTGTGTGTGTGTGTGTGTGTGTGTGTGTGTGTGTGTGTGTGTGTGTGTGTGTGTGTGTGTGTGTGTGTGTGTGTGTGTGTGTGTGTGTGTGTGTGTGTGTGTGTGTGTGTGTGTGTGTGTGTGTGTGTGTGTGTGTGTGTGTGTGTGTATTACAGTGGCGTGAAAAACTATTTGCCCCCTTCCTGATTTCTTATTCTTTTGCATGTTTGTCACACAAAATGTTTCTGATCATCAAACACATTTAACCATTAGTCAGAGATAACTCAAGTAAACACAAAATACAGTTTTGAAATGATGGTTTTTATTGTTTAGGGAGAGAACAAAATCCAAACCTACATTGCCCTGTGTGAAAAAGTAATTGCCCCCCCTTGTTAAAAAAATAACCCAACTGCAGTGTTTCACACCTGAGTTCAATTTCTGTAGCCACCCCCAAAGCCTGATTACTGCCACACCTGTTTCAATCAAACCACTTAAATATGAGCTGCCTGACACAGAGAAGTAGACCAAAAGCACCTCAAAAGCTAGACATCATGCCAAGATCCAAAGAAATTCAAGAACAAAAGTAATTGAGATTTATCAGTCTGGTAAAGGTTATGAAGCCATTTCTAAAGCTTTGGGACTCAAGCGAACCACAGTGAGAGCCATTATCCACAAATGGCAACAATATGGAACAGTGGTGAACCTTCCCAGGAGTGGAAGGCCGACGAAAATTACCCCAAGAGTGCAGACACAACTCATCCGAGAGGTCACAAAAGACCCCAGGACAACTTCTAAAGAACTGCAGGCCTCACTTGTCTCAATTAAGGTTAGTGTTCACGACTCCAACATAAGAAAGAGACTGGGCAAAAATGGCCTGCATGGCAGATTTCCAAGATGTTAAGCAAAAAGAACTTTAGAGCTTGTCTCAATTTTGCTAAGATACATCTCAATGATTGCCAAGACTTTTGGGAAAATACCTTGTGGACTGATGAGACAAAAGTTGAACTTTTCGAAGGCAACTGTCCCGTTACATCTGGCATGGAAGTACCACAGCATTTCAGACAAAGAACATCATACCAACAGTAAAATATGGTGGTGGTAGTGTGATGGTCTGGGGTTGCTTTGCTGCATCAGGAACTGGAAGGCTTGCTGTGATAAATGGAACCATGAATTCTACCGTCTACCAAAACATCCTGAAGGAGAATGTCCGGCCATCTGTTCGTCAACTAAAGCTGAAGCGATCTTGGGTGCTGCAGCAGGACAATGACCCAAAACACACCAGCAAACCCACCTCTGAATGGCTGAAGAACAACAATATGAAGACTTTGGAGTGGCCTAGTCAAAGTCCTGACCTGAATCCTATTGAGATGCTATGGCATAACCTTAAAAAGGCGGTTCATGCTAGAAAACCCTCAAATAAAGCTGAATTACAGCAATTCTGCAAAGATGAGTGGGTCAAAATTCCTCCAGAACGCTGTAAAAGACTCGTAGCAAGTTATCGCAAACTCTTGATTGCAGTTATTGCTGCTAAGGGAGGCCCAAACAGTTATTAGGTTCAGGGGGCAATTACTTTTTCACACAGGGCGATGTAGGTTTAGATTTTGTTCTCTCTAAATAATAAAAACCATCATTTCAAAACTGCATTTTGTGTTTACTTGAGTTATCTTTGACTAATGGTTAAATGTGTTTGATGATCAGAAACATTTTGTGTGACAAACATGCAAAAGAATAAGAAAACAGGAAGGGGGCAAATAGTTTTTCACACCACTGTATAGGAAAGAGCGAGTACACCACTAACTGTATCTGTACTCGGAGTGGGCGTGGCGTTACCTGGAAGTGGGTGTGGTTAAGCCTGAATTGGGTGTGGTTTACATCAATACATTATTTTAATTCTGAAATTGATATGGATTGATCCGAAGTTGCTATGTGTATTGTTTATTTGAAAACTATTTACAGAGCAGCCTCAGAATTGAGATTAAATATTTTTGATCACAATAGTAAAGGAACTATTACAGAACAAGTTTTTCAATGTAGAAAAACAGAACATTAGTATTTAAGTGCATGAATTAATACATCTGAACTCATGCAGTAGGAACTAGGAAATATGAAATACTAAAACCAGACAGAACTTTTTATTATTTATGAATTTTTTATTTGATTAAACTGATTTTTTCTTGGCATTTTCCCCACACACAGCTAAACAAAACAATGGAGAGAGA